TGCGTCACTACCAAGCGGCCAGAATTGGGAAGGAATTAGGATAGGGGTAGGGTTTAGGACACTTCACAGGTGTTGGACTAGCCCATGTGAAGCAGCGAAACTCATTTTGCCAGAACAAATTTCGCATGAGATTATCTGGGAATAGAACCCGGACATCATTGGTGAAAGGCGAGCGACTTCGTGACATTAATGTTTGAACTTAAGTACTTTCAATAACAAGCGAGATTCATAAAATTAAGTTGCTAGGTGTCAGACGAAGACAGAATATAGGTATTCCCCTCAGACTCCCTCCGTCGCCGCGCAGCGATATACAACACTACCTGCCAGGTTGCCCAACCAAAAGTCAGTATGTTCCCCGTGTTAAATCGAAGGGCCAAAGAGTAAATGCACTAAACCCAGTAATACAGCCAAGAGCGTGATGCAATATCTGGCACAGCACCAGGCACTGAGATTTCCACCAACAAAGCTCTGGACACGAATACAATTAATTTACAAAAAAAAATTCATTTATTTTAAACGTTTCAAAATTTCTGCACTTGCAGCCTCTGAACAGTCAGGAAGTGGGGGCACGGATCTGCAATCCCCTGATTGCGGACCTTGGTCAAAAAAATTTAAGACAACAGCCAAGGTCAAACAAGGAGGGGGGGCATCGTTCTCAAGAGAAGAAAATGGTAGCGCTCTTGTCATTGAAGCTACATTGGAAATATAAGACATTTTCTTGTTTTTCCATAGATTGTAAAGTCTGCAGAAAACATAGTTGAAATTTGGTTCGAATTATTTGGGTTATCAGAGCTTACCTTTGTCCATGAAATATGCATCTCTGGTTTTCTCGACTTTTTTGAATGTAGTACTTGTAATGATTCTTGAAGTAGACGTTGACAATAATTCAAATCTCTTTCTCGAAAGGCACGAAGTCCAGGTCACAAGGAAGGTAGGAATGTCCAGACGTCATTAAGACATGTCGTAGTTCGTCAAATTTACCCTGGTGGATTAAAGACATGTTGGCAGAAACTAAATTCAAATTATTTTCCCATTCAAAGCGGTTGTCGCTAAATATAATCACTAAACATAATTATAGTATAATGCAATCGTCTGATGAGAAGTGACCCATGCAACAAGTGATTTCATATGATCCCATTATGTTGTCGTTTCATCCCCCAAATAAATTTTACAAGCTCTTCTTTTAATGTAATGAATACCGTAGTAACATGTCTATACTTCGATTTAAATAATGATTTCTGACAAATCATCAGCAGGGCACCGTTATACAATCGGGAGCTTCGTTACGACTTACATTTCTGGTATTGAAGCTCCCGATCGGATAACTGCGTAACAGCTAATATCTGAAGTCGCTCCATTTAAATCGGCGTATACAGTTTTCGTCGAAAACCGAATACCGCTGGTCATTTTAGGGGTAGGCATTGCCTGCTACCGCCTCCAAGAGCAACAACACATTTACTGGAATACTATTTCAATGGTTTGATGCGCTTTTGAGAAGCTTCAGCCTTCATGAGATTGAATCTTTTTTTCCTTTTTCGAGGATTTGATTTCATGAAGATTTGAAAAGAGGCGGGGAGGGGTGTGTTGTGTCCGAGTAGGATGTTCGGGGAGTTCTTCCTTCATACCGATGGACGCTTTAGACTTTAGGAGAACAAATTCCAGCACTATTTTTAGAAAGTCAAAATAATTTCTGCTGGATCTACCTATTAACTAATTTGTGATAAATCATGTAAAAAAGCATTTTTTGTCCTATGTTGAATTCACCCTTGTAATTCACAACCTCTCAATTGCTTCTGAAACAATAGTTTTCTGGATAAATTTTGGAAAAATCTAGATCCAAAGAGTACGTGTCTTAACATACAGGAACTTTTTCTATCTCCCCGTTAAAATGAGGAAAAACACGCTGCAATTATTTCCCCGAAAATCCTATATATTTTATATTAGACTAGCATTATTTCGACCTGCCGTCGCCTTCCCGCTCCATCAGCGCGGCAACGACCTGGCTGTCCTCGTGTCGTAATCGCCCTCCCGCAGTCGTCCTCTAGCTCAGCATTAGTTTCGTCCCCTCTACATCCCACGCCGCCCGCTCGTACTGTCCTGTTGCCCCTCCCCACGTCACAGGGCCACACCCAGCAACAATGAAGCCCAGGTAGATTGGAAATTGCATTTAACTGAAGCGCCATCTATTGGAGTTACGACGAATGAGAAGCATAAAAACCTTCTCCACGAAAAACACGTAATGTATCAACTTTCACGAAGATAGGTCAATTGCGTTGGAGTTGCAATAATATATATATATAATTGTAACTTTAACTTTACAGAACCAGTCGTCACCCGGTCCAGCTGGTAATACTGATATTTTGATATTGACATATTTACTGATATTAGTAGTTCATCAAAACCACTCTCGTATTAATACTAACAAATTTGGAAGTTCATCTCAATATTCTGACATGTATTTAAAATAATTATTTGATTTGGAATGTCACCTAAATACATTTTAATCCATAGTTACAGTATTTATTCTTTTACGAATTTTTTTCCATAGGGCAATTAAAAATGTAGGAATATTTTACAGCAAATACAGAAACATTTCATTATACTTCTATTTACCCATAAAATTGAGGTATCCTTCCCCGCCTAGTCCATGTGTTAACAGGCGTATCATCTTGTGAAGTGCAATTCCACGATCAATGATAGGTGATGGTTCTGATAATGTAGACATATGTGTGTACATTTCTTTGTCCATAAGCCAAAATGCAATTGTTTTATCACCAACAAGGGCCTGTAGAAATATTCAATTTAAGTGACAAACAATTTCTCAAAAACAACAAGAAAAAAATCAAAGTGAGTCATTAAAAAAAACAGTGCATTTCCTTAAGAATTATTTTACCTGATCATGAGATTCAGCATATGCAATTGTTTTTTCCATCCATCTTCTATTTGTCAATGTGTGCACAATATTACCCATATTCCAATCATCATCTTTAAATTCTTTAAGCAATTCAATCCATTTATCAGGAATAGCCATTCCCAAGCGATAGTCAAAACCAGTTCCTCCTTCATCAACTGGTCTACAGGTGGCTGGCATACCAGACACGTCCTTCAAAACATATTTGAAAAATACAATGAAGAATTTCATAAAGCACTTAACAATATTTTTTTATCAACAATTCTGAGTGAATTAGGTTGGACAAAAAGCCACAGGTATCAAAATCTGTAAATATCCATTAACATGAATTTACATGACATACATTTATTTACATTTATAAGAAAAACAAAATCTCTCATTTTTTTTTATTTTGTCCGTCATTCTTTTCTTTTGAAGTTGGGATTATGGATTCGTTTTTCAATTTCGAACAACAAAATTAAATTCCATGAATAAAATCTGCAGAGGACTATCATTTATGCCGATATCTCATGCACACGTAATTAATACTAACGACTCGCTAAAATAAAAATAATGATAATAATAATGATAATAATTATGATGATGATAATAATAATAATAATAATAATAATAAATCGGACATTCCAGAAGCTTTGTACATTTCCGTAAGTCTGGGATTGTGACGGCGTTCATCGTTATGATACTGCACACCTTGGTTAACATTTTGAACAAACTGTATTTTACGAAGTAGATTAAACTGATTTCAAGAATAGTACATTCAAAACGCTTGATACTATTAAAATACTGTAATATGTGGCACGTGATGATTTTCTCTCACACAATTACTCAACAGTTTCACCGATAACACGGAGCAACAAGGCAACTTCCAATGCCGTTGCAGACGCGACATTATTCCTCTCGGTACCCTCCGGACGCATATATGCTATGTAAGGCGAGTCATTTACGATGGTAAAAAAACACTAACGAGGTCCTCATAATATTAGCAATACATAATTGATTTACCGTTTTGGCCCGAAGATGGACAGATTCCAGAAGAAAGTGTTTTTTTTTTCTTTTATTTCCTCGCAGCCTGTGTAGCAGCGCAACATTATGCTAATTTCCAAGATGCGAAGCTGTTGTTTAGGCACGGAAGGTCATTCGATTCGTTTGTGGGCAGCTACAGCACTTCAATTCTAACAGCCAACTGGGAGGCTAAGGCACTGATGGCGTAAAATCGGGTGCGTTACAAAACTGTCATTATTTCCATCCCAATTCCGACAATTCACAAATTTCCTTGTTTGCACCCCGAAAAGTAGATTGCATGTAGTTTTGTGAAACATAATCAAGCGTTGTACTGGCTCAAAATAGAACACAACTGATACAATTAATATAACTAAATACTTTTTCTTTATATTCAGTTATTAAATATTATCATTTACGTGAATAAAAAGTTTGTATGTATGTGTGCCCAATAGATTCAAATATACATGACCAATTAGGCTGAAAAATCGCACGTTTTTTTAGATCTTAACTCGTTGATTGTATTTTACGAAAGTAAATTTCCACCTGAGATATGACATATTCTGAGGAAGCACATTCTACAGTACGCCGGCATATATATTGTAGATAAATTGTCAGAATAAAAAGCAAATGCCATTCATATGATGCCTGCAAGCCTCATTTCATTGATCTCTGAATCTGTCCACTGCCTTCCCAATTTACTTATAAAGACGAACCTAGTTTTTATTTCAAAATTGAGTTAAGGGTGTGATTATTTTCATGCAACATAGATATTTATAATTACAATACACGCAAGAATCATACTCACCAGGTGCGAGTATCAACAGCTCACTACAAGATGATCAACATATAATTCGTTACTTTGCAAAACATTACCAAATGACATTGAACAATAAACAATTTTTTCTACTACAATTGTTTCTATACAATTAGATACTACACCGAAATGAAAAATAAGAATTACTTTAACATTAATAGCTAATGCGTTAGTTAATATTTGTAGAGTATAATTTTAAAACAACTAAATATGCCTGCAACAAGTAATGTACTTCAGCTTCTGGGTCAATGACACACATCTCGATCTGGGTTTTTGGTCTAGATTCCTGATCCATTGGGCAAATGCTGAGATGGCTCTTTGTTTTGCTCCCGGTCATAAATTTATCTTTAAGGCCCATTGACAATGCATACGTACACATAAGCATAGCGCATTAACATAAACATTAACATAAGTGATACACTCCAGTATTCACATTGTCTAACATAAACGTAGCAAAATAAGAGTTTCTATTGGCAGTGAGACATTCTGGTTTACTATTGGTTGGATGTGACAATCGATTTCAAGGTATCGACTGTGTCCATGGCCCATATGGCGTTAGTTCTTCGATCGACTTCGCTCCGATTTCGATTATCTATTTTGAGTTACCGTTCTGTGATTAGTTCATTTCTCATGTCTTACTTAAGCATAAGCACAAAAGCTTGAAGCTTTTAAATTAACGTCTTACGTGTTACGCTTATGCGAACGCATTGTGAATGAGTCCGCTTATGGACGTAGGGCTAACTTTTCTGTTAACGCCATGCTTATGTTTATGTTTGCATTGTGAATGGGCATTTACTGCGTGCATATTTTGTTGAGTGTTTCTTTTGATAGTAGTGGAGGATTAGACAGGGGTGTAGGATGTTATTTTGTTAGCAAATAATAAAATATCAAAAATGTTCGTTTATCGATACACATACGTTTTCTATACCTATGAAGCGAAAATGCATAGCTTTTAAACTTTTAAACTCGCTCTGCTGATATTGTTTTTTTTCATCATTCAACTACGTACAGAAAAAGGATGGAGAAGTCAGCTCAAGAAAAAGTGCGCAGTTTATACTTTTCATTCATCGTCAGATACAGTTTTTACTTTTTTAATTTTTTTTTATTTTACGAAAATAAACCAGATCAAATCAAATATTGATATCAGGTGTGTTTAAAGTCTGGTTTGAATAAAATCAATAGTAGGGATGATTTCTTTATTGTTAATTAATGGTTGGAGTTTTGCAAATTTCGACTTATGTAAACGGCTGCAGTTGCTCAGTGGCAGCATTCTGAAACGTCGCTGACCGGGAGGTCATAGGGTTCTTGTTTCGACGGTAGCAAATTTTTAACACTACAGGTCCAATTTACAAACATTTCCTACTATTTTATTTATAGTGAATGACTTCAACAATGTCTGGCAAAAAACTTGTATTGCAGTAAAGACAGGAATAGACGATTGAATGGCGAGGTGCGATGTGGTACGTTACTACATGAGATATCACATATCATATAAATAAGTGACTGAGGCTCTGCAATATTGCCGGTTTTGTACTAATCTTTCTTCTCGCTTTTGCAGTTCGTTCGTTCAGAACAGTTTCGAATTTAGAACAGAAGGTGACTACTATGAGGGCAAAATTTCTTTCGTCTCAAAACAAGAGTTTAAAAATTTAATATTTTACTTGATATTAATTTCAATTATACAATTGAACATTTCGTTTAAAAAATGCGAACAATTCGTTGCGAAGTTGCAATAACAACATTTTTCATATACATAATTTCTAAAACATTATAATTTCTCAATGCAGAATTAAAACAAAAACTCGAAAGCTCACTGGATATCAAAATCAGAACTATGTGCGTGGGAGGTGAACATGGCTGGTAAAGCCTTCGATGCTTTATATTCCTGACACGGACACTACGCATATAATTATGTACGTAAAATTTGAATATTTGACTTTTATTAAACTTAGTTTTAATTAATCTACACGACTTGCTCACGTTTTATTATATATTAGTTTTCTGAATTTTGGAAATTATATTTCCGTCTTTCGATGATGGTGCAGCCCCCAGTTTGTTAGGGCACCAGTCGCCACTCATTCCTCTCCCCTCTTGGATCCGTGCCTGTTATAGTACAAATACATTGATCTACAAACTTTTATCTAGTAACTCTAGCAGATTGAAATCATACCTCAGCAACAGTTATGACATCAGGGTAGAGTTGATGAAGCATATAATTGGCCAACATCAAATATACCAATGCTTCAGTGTCTACATTTAATCCAAAATATTCATCATAATTCCCTGAAAAACCTTCTCCAATACCCCTTGAGTGGTATAGCATTGATGTTACACCATCAAATCTAAAAAAATATAAAATCAAAGTAATCCATTACAGCGACAAATACTTATCTGCAATTATGTACTTGTATGTACAATTCTATTAGAAATATTTACAAAATCAAAAAGGCTGATGGTTTCATAATAGTATTGTTTCTACAATGAGTCTACCAGGTAAGATGGTAAAAATCTGTTTTTGGTGAATGCCTAAATGCTCTTGTCTTAGCACCTCTTCACTGACCCATTGCTGCTACTTAATCGGCCATGATTTTTAAAATATGTCTAATCTGATATTAGAAATCAGCAAGATATTTCAAAATAATATTTTTACTACATACTACTGCATTTTGTTAAAGAAAGATTAGGTTTTTGATGTTAATTTCGAATATTCCACTACATACTAAACTGTTTTTAAAAGTCCATAATACCTGAAACTAAATTCTTTATATAATTTTCATATATCCATTGGTTAAAAAACTACTTTAATTTCTTAGGAAAATATTTTCCAAACAAAGTTTGTTTTCTCTAATGTTATTTAAATTTTCAAATAATTTAAATAGCATTACACAGAAAATGTTTTTAAATGATAAATATTTATTTTAAAAATTCAAAGCACAAAAGGGCACAATTTGTTACAATGGTTATTTTTGTATAAAAGAGTAAAGAATGTTATTAACCATTGTAATACATACTATCTGACAAGGTAGTTATACCCTTCAAGATCTGAACATATTGATACTGCCGCATCCTCACAATGTTTGTGTCTGGGCTTTGATGGATTTAGTGACAATATAAATAAAACATGATTTCAAGATTTCAAATAGCGTGTCTATTTTTACATCTTTTACAATTTTTACATCTTTCATTTAAACATGTTATAATTTTCAAATTGTTTTATGAAAATGTAGCTGCATTATTGACTTATTCATCAGTTTGGGATGAAATAACAAATTTACTAGCACCACAATCATCATTTGATAATATTAAAAAATGTAATTGGATGCATCCAAAAAAATCTGGAAATTCAATATAAATTTTTTTATTTATTAATACAGAAAATTAACAGGTATGGTCTACAGTTTGGGGCTGAATCATTGTACAAAACATTTTACATAATTTCGTATCTAGGCGGATTTTACCATTCTACCAGTTGAGAATATTATTTTTGGATTTGAATCATCGATCAAAACAATTTTCTTTACTTCTGTTAATTGCAGATTTTACCATCCCATCCGGTTAGATCCTTTGTGTAGATTGTATCCCTAAATTTCTAATATCAGTTGTTCAATACTTGTACCAACAACAATAATGTAATAATGTATCTATATACTTACCTAAAACCATCAAACCTGTACTCTTCCATGTACCACCTTAGATTAGACAGCAAAAATTTCAGCACTTCATACCTGGAAAAAGAAATGTAACACACATTTGTAACTTGTTCTCTAGAACATTGACGTTTGGGTTCTTTCCCCATGACAGGTATGAGTGCTTTGGAAATTGTCAATAAATTCCCGTCACGTGAAGCGAGGAGGGGTTTTATTTCCGAATTTCCAAAGCACGGGTGGTATTTGAACTATTCCACAAGTGAAATTATGTTCAACAGAGTCCCAAAATGGTCAAAATATAGAGAATAACAGAACGAGTACGTCAAAATCAGGTGCTATATTGTTATAGTACATACGTTGTTTATTGGACATAGACATAGTGATCATAGTGACATAGCGACAATGTGTAACACCTTCTAAGATAGAGTAGTCATGATAGGCCAGTAGGTAGAAGTGGTAAGAAAAATCGGATAGAAAAAGGGATGAACTTTTTGAGATACATCGCCCTGATTGAGGCATTTTGTATGTGAAATTAAACACTGTTGGTTTTAATTTCACAAGCAGAATATTTATTATAAATGATTTTCCTCGATCGATCGGACTGAAGTCACGGCACATTGAATTTCAAACGGATATTTTGGTTTTGGGAAGTGCCTTACCGACACTCTCACATTTTTTCTTAATCTTTTTCTCTCAGAGAGAGCAATGTACCCTAATGGCTCAGGTCCAGTTTTCATTGAACTCACTGAATTTTTGATAAGGGCAAAAGCTTAACTTTTTCATATTCTCCTTGCAACCACAATATTGAAGATGTTTGTTTAACTATATATGTACGTATATTCGGAATAATAATATACGAAGTATAGAAAAAGTTATGTAATGCTGTGGAAAATCGATTTCGATATTTCAACGGAAATACAGGGAGTCCCCTGATTCAGAAGAAGTTTTTTTTTTCTTCCTTCCAAAATCTCGGTCCGATCGTGAACACCATTAGCGACTAAACCATAAGCAGGATTTTTTTTTCCCACGATGGATATTCACCGGTCGATCTGCTCGTCTCGAGGCTATGCGATTTTGCGAAACTCTTCAAAATTTGGGAGTACTTTATATGTAGCCCCAGGACATTTTAAAAATTTTCTCTAAAACGGCTCTAAAAGTTTTCTTTAAATTTTTTGTAAAAATGAGTAAATTACCCTTATAAAGGTGGGATAGGTTCGATTTTCAGGCTTAACTCGGAATTTTCAAAAATTTAGAAATTTTCAGTAGTTTTCCTACAACTACAAAATCAAAGATAGAGATTTTTCCTTCAAATAAATTTTTTCTTCATAGCATGTTCTTTCATTAAGGTAATGTACATTTTTTTGAAACTTTTAGTAGTTTTCGCGCAATATTGCGTGCAATATGTAAGATTTAAAAAAAATAACGAAAACAAGAATTTTTGAAAATATTTGCAAAATTTTTCTTCAAACTTTGGCTTTGGTAAGGATAGTGCTAAAAGTAATCGATGAGATGACATTTTGATCTATTCTTTAGTTTTTTCAAAAATTACAAAAAAATAATATTTTTGACTTGTCTCTCACGTCGTTAATATATTAGCGGCAATTTGTTCACATTATTATATTTATGAGTATCTACGCTGTAAATAATGTTATATACAGTTTCTCGAAAACTCAACCTTTTTTCGGTGAAAACCAGCTCGAAATTCCGCATATTCAGAAACGCTCGAACGCCATTTTTTCAAAAACTGCTCTTAATTTTTTCTTTAAACTTTTTGAACGGATAGTACTAATTGCACTCTTTAGTATGACAAATTTAATTTTGAGGATTTTTTTAAACATTACACAAATGTAATTTTTTAACGATATCTCACGCCGTTCACATTAATATTTCCAAGAATTAGAAAAAAAACCTATTGTAAATGTTTCAAATTACTTCTAATGATGTTTTTCGGAAACGAAAAAAATTTCGGTTAAAAAACTTCAAATTTTGAATGTACAGTAGCGCTTAAACGCCATTTTCTTTAAAACGGCTCCAAGTTCTACAAACAAAATTACCATTTATAACGAAGTTTTTCTTTTCTTTAATATTCTTAAAAAAATAGTTTTGTTCTACTAATAGGAAACCGAAAAAATAAGAAAGTTTCAAACAAAATATACTTTGGGCGGCGATAAATAGCAGCTGGCAACAATGTATGTGAAAAATATGAACTTAGTGTGAAATAATGACTACTTTTAAAATTTCACGAAGAAGGTTTTGACATCTACAAATTGCTTTTAATCATTTTACTGGAACTCGCAATATTTTCAGTAAAACAACTCCAACTTTTAAAAGCACGTGAAATCTCATATGCAAACGCTGATAATTGCATTATTCGTAACTGTTACTGCTTACTATGTCTAGTTACCACAGTGAATATTTTTAGGATTGGAAACATTTTTGCTAATTCAAGTAGCATTATAACATTTTGTAATCGAAAAAAATAATGCGATACAGTACGTTACTGTATATTTAGTTATCCATTGTCAGATCTACACGCGAGACTGCGTATGTCTATCGCTCATAGACGCAAAAACTACTCGACCGATTTCGCTGAAATTTTAATATCTTTAACACATAAATTTCACAAATTTTCTCATTAATTTTGGAAGTGTTTAAAGGGTGGTTAGAATTAAATCGGACATGTAGGGGCGTTGTTGTTGATTTATGCGTTTATAATTGCTCAAGCACCCCTGAATAGAAGCTATACGCAACCCGCAGCACCGTTATGTATTACGGTCGTCCGTCGCTGCATATTTTCTCCTTGCGAAAAATCGGAACGTTATCTCGGACAAACGAGAACGGTATATGTGACATTTTATAAATTCCGAGAAATCAGTTTATTTTAGTCACAATTACTATAAAGTCGTGGTGCTTCGTTTCATCATTAAACTACGGTATTTCAATTGTTCATTAAAACCACGAAAATACACTGCCAGTGTTTAGCCAGTGCCATAGCTTAAAATACACGTTTTTTTCAGAATTTTTAAAATGTCCCTTATACCGTTTTGGTTTTCACCCATTCAATTAATCAAAGGCTCTAGATGGATAAGATGGTAAAAAATGCTCTCAGTTGAAATCCATAATGAAATCGTTCCTCTGGACTGTGACCTCGAAAAACATTTTTTCATGGAGGTTTAGATTTCTCCCCCTCACATCCTTCGTAATAAAGAACGTGTTTTATAAATTTTTATTTCATTGAATTGGTGGTATGAATTTCTGTGAGAATAATGATTATTCATGAGAAATAAAATTATACTTGCCACATAATTCAAACTTTTAAATGGATTTTAAACTTTTGGATTTTTTTAAAAGAAAGTTTTTATTTCGCTGGGTAAACGAGAAAATTCTGAAATGTTGCCCGAACAATTAGCTATCTTCTGGATTTTTTTTCAGATTTTTCTGACTGGTGCGCAATGTTTAAAAAATACATATTTTTGGCCCAATATTTTGATGTATATAGAACTGTATAAAGGTATGTAATTACAATATTATTTGTTTTCTAGGGACAATATTTGCAATTTTAAAAGGCTAATATCAATAAATAATTTTGGCTATATAATTGTGACTGTTATATATAAACACATCGTATGGTAAAAACTTTTTCAGAAGTTATTTTTAATTACTTCAGATGTTCGAAAAATTTTCAATTTTAGAGGGATTCACTCAAATTGACGTGAGAACTTTAGATGTAGTGGTGTGTACTAATAAATATTTGTACTAACTGTTTCAGTTAGTCCACCTGTAGCACAGCCCGAGAACAAGTTTCTGTCTTTGGTAATAGAAAGAGCATTCACTCATTGGGAACCAGTGGAAGCAGAATGGCACATATTTTCTCATATTAATTGTATCATTTCGTAATGTTATAATATTGTAACTTCTGATCAACTAACACATTACCATTCTCTTTAAGAAACTTTTAAAAACCTCCCATGAGAAATGAAAAATGTACTACGTATATTACTCCGTATATACTGTATACGGGAAAGTAAAAACAAAAGAATACAGCAATATGGCATTTATGTCACCTTTAAAGCACATTTAGAAATATTTTTTACGAAATGTTTTAAAAAAATTGGAACCGTTTTCGAAAAAAATGTTTTTGTTATTTTTTTAATACTGCACAAATTATATGCATAATTGCGCGAAAACTACTAAAACTTTCAAAAAATGAACACGACGTAAATGAAATATCGAATTATGGAAAACTAATTTTACTTGAAAGAAAACTCTTACAAGGTAAATTTTAGAATTTTCAAAAATTGCGTGTTAACAAAAAAACGGAACTATGCCATTTTCATAAGTGTATTTTACTATATTTTTCAAAAAGTTTAAATTAAAATTTGAAGCCATTTTTGAAAACAAATTAAAAATGTCCGGGGAGCATCATGAAAATGGCGTTTGAGCGTTTCTGAAAATGCGGAATTTTGAGCTAATTTTCACAAACAACGATTGAGTTTACGAGCAACTTTACATGACTTCATTTAAAGCGCACGTACTCATAAATATAATGAGAACAAATCGGCGCTTATGTACAGGTGCGCCAGAGAAACTTACTTATTTGAAAAAATTCCCGCGCGGTGAGTTAGGCGGTTAGAGGGGCGAGAGGGGGCGTATCTGGAGGGGGAAGTTCCCAAGTTTTTTTCTCCTTCCAGT